TGGCGATAAAAATCTGCTAATCGACAATTTCACGAAGAAACCATATGGTTAGTCATAATGCCCTTGTACAATTATACAAAAAGCATCAAATAAACATCAAGTCCTTCCCTTCTCTTCTTTGACTCTTCTGATTATAATCAAGTAGTAACGAGGGTAGTGACAGTGATGATCATCATCATTATCGTTAGCGATTTGTAAGTCTATATGAAATATCTTTGTTATCTACCTGTTTGACTATTTGCTGTTTGATTATCTGTCAACTGGGTCGGTCGATACCAACGGCTTGATTTCGACACACGATCAATGCCCTTTTCGTATTTCTGATGTCGTCGTGATGTTGAAGGCTTTGAGAGAGAAAATGTCATCCCTTCAATCATATGATTTGGATGCCATGAATGAATTGATGGTGATGGTGATGTTGCCAACGACGAACGGCACGAACGATAATTGTATGGATGTTGTAAATGAATTATTTCCGGTGTGCGTTGAGTTTGCCGATAATGAGGTTTCCGCGGTATAGACGGTGTTGAGATAATCGATTGTTTACTAGTACTATTGCTTATAGTCGACGATGGGATGGTATCAGTATACCATAAAGGTACAGTCAATTTTTGTAGTGATCGTTGAAAACGTTGTTCGTAGTCATTCATTGTGATTGTTAGTATTCAAGATGATAAAGAAATAGTCCTAATACCTATTGTTAATCGTGCTTTTTGTTATGATAAACTCGATGTACAGATGACAGCGTTACATCGATGTGACAATTCATCGAAGATACTTAGATGGTGATCTGATATTGGTACAGGTTGTAAATCTATATAAAATAGAAAGAGAAAGAGAGAGAAAGAAAAAATGAGTAGTAAAAGAGATGCAAACACAACATCATATTCAAAAGGAAGATTAACTTGAAAAGGGTGGAGATATGTAAATGGATATGGCTGTACGTATGCTTAGAGATGTAATTAAACAGAGCATATGACAAGTATTTGTTAAAAATTAGAACTATATTGATCATGATAGATTGCTTACCGTATCGCGCTAGATGAGATGCAATGGTAGAGAACAAGCTGTTCGCATTATTTATTTCGATGGTTGTTAGTAGGCGCAAGGCTGCAATTCAATTGACAATATCCCTAATTCTGCTACCACTTTGTCTGGAATCTAAATTGTCCCAAAGATGACACAAGATACAAACAGTACGCGCGCGCGGTTATATTCCTTGTAAGAACAAGAAAGAGAGAACAGTAAGGATAGATGGGATGAATAGGAGTGATAAGAAACGAAACATTATCTTGTACTTGCTTCTTTCTCTTTTGTTCTTTCTCTCCCTATGTCTCTCTCTCTTTCTCTATGCCTCTTTTTCTTAAAAAAAATGAGACAAAAAAGAAGGATCTACTTTCTTTTATTCGTTCAAAATGCATACGCACACACACATTTACTTTAAATGCTTTACTACAATCATTATTCGTATGATCTTGTACATGGAGGAGATGAAGAAGAGAACGAATGTAAAGAACGACGCACATACATATATATATATATATAAATGTGGTTACGAGGTATAAAAGGTTCGTTAAATTTTATTCGCATGCCGCTGTAGTTGCTGCCACCATCATCACTACTACTGCTGCTGTCATAACGTAAAGAACGAATGATGTGGCAGCGATCACACACACACACACATACGCTCGTGGATGCATACGAATGCAAGTATATCCATACATCTAAATGGCATCTGTTGATTTGAAACAGAGAGAAAGGCTGAGAAAGCAATTGTTACATACTTGTCATAGTATCGGTCGGCTCGGTCATATCAGTGGCAGTATACGTAAATGTGTTCTTGATTAGCCAGACATATATGCATCAATACACACGTTCTTCATCATCATTATCATCAGATAATAGAAAGAAGTGGCACCCCATCTGAACTAAGGTTAAATCATCATCACTCTTAACATTTGTTTCTAAGTAGAATTCTCTCCTATACATCATCATTATCATCATCGTTTACAGAATATCCGTATATTTGAGTAGAGAGTATTGATTTGCATTTTCTAGATTAGAGCAGAGAGAAAGAGAAGACACAGAAAAAAACGTCAGAATAACCAGTCGTTGTCTGCTAACACAATTGTTGTTGACATGAAGAAGCCTGTCAGGATCATTCTCCGTAACGACATTATCATCGTCTTCGTTCTTTCTTTTTTTTTTACGATGGAGTGATGTCGAAAGAAGAGAACATGCAAAAAAAACAATGTCAGCTGAAGAAAGTCTTCGATTAGAAACATTGATTTGCCAGATTACGATCGCTTCTAATCACTCTTATAGGAAAGAAATGAGGAAGTTGGCTTGACGTGACAATTGATAAGATCAGTTCTGTTTAATGTTTGACAATCAGGTTCAATCGTGATGCCTTTCTCCGCTCACTTCCATTGTTCAATTAGAACCAATTGAGGATTCATAATGCTATACTTATGAAACAAATACGATCATTCGATCACGAAGTAATATTTATTTTATCCAACTCAACGATTTAACATTATGTGATGAACAGAAATTTATAATTGTATTCTACGAAATCATTTTTTCAAGTGGAAATAATGTTCAAATTTTATTTCTTATGCATAACAGTCTGTCAAATGATTCGAAAGCGAGCAAAATTGGACGCAGAGACAATTTCATCTGCAACGTTTAACAACACTCAAGAGAGATCGTCGACCCATACATGACAATAACGTTATCAGCCATTGTCCTTCTTTCTCTACAGTGAAATATTCGCCGATGACAAGTGTCAATTTAGAACATGCACATGATTCAGTACAATGTGTTGTACAATTCAGAAGCAAAATCATCGAATAAAAGCATATGGTGATAAGACATAATTGTCTTGCCTTGCTTTGTTGATCTACGTTTTAAGGTCATGGTCGCATGTGTATATGTAAATTATTATTATTTTTCTATAGTATACTTAACTTGAATATGTTAAAGCAATTGATTTCAATTTCTACTTGACGAAAAAGAAGAATCGAAGGCATTTCTTTCTGCTCCTTACTTCGAAATCTTGTTTTCTTCACCCGAGATCAATTTTTCTTCTCGTGAACGTTATGACTATGCTGTTGGCAAAAGCAAACTGTTTTTCTTTATTATATTACCATTTGTTCTTGCGTACTAAGGCTAATTTAATTAGAAGAGAACAATACTCACAAGTTCTCCTTCATAAATGGAAGACTAATATGAAGAACTATTAGATTGTCTTTCCTTGGATGATCGAAAAGAGCAAAGATAATTTCATCTGAAATAATCGAAGATCTTTTGCGTTATCAAAATGTCAAAGATGAAGATATGTTTCGAACAAAGGCAAGTATGCTAAGCGCACTCTTGCAAGTTTCAAATAAATGATTGAAGTGTGTACACAATGTTGTTGTCGACCGATACATCCATTCGGACATGTCAATGGTGGTTTGTCATTATTATAATCTGATATCAACGGATAAAGAAACTATCTTGAGCACCTAATGGATATTGACAATGAAGATTAGTTGTATTTGATAGACGAGAACCATCAAAAGTTAATAGACTATTTAGAGTAGGTTCAATGTTGAGAACGATGACACTGGTCGTGTCTCACTTGCGCGAAACTGCAAAAGAAATGTTCACTTTCACGATAGAGTGGAACAATAATCTGTTGAATGTTATTTTCGAACGTGTGAAAGTAGTTTCTATTCAGATTTATAATAGATTTGCCAGTAGGTAACGAGATTGAAATCGAAATAGATTATGACATCCTATTTACTTAACCCTCAAGCGATTTATCGAGTGGGTATCAATCAATACATTGCATTTACAGATACTTCGTTAAACAATCGGCATCGTTTTTCGAATCGTATTATACTTCATCGAATGACTAAGTAGAAACATATGAGATAGATTTAAAATGACATTGGCACGCAATCGTTATCAAACTTAGTTGTCTATCAACGATGGTAAACTCGTAAGCGATAGTCGTAACAATCATTTCCGTATGTACACATTGAAAACGAAGAAGAAGAACAAGAAGAAGGAGAGGTATATGAATGAGATAAACATCTGCGAGACGATATGTAATACCAATTGAAAGTGTTGAAATTGTCTGATCCTGTCAATGAATATAAAGGTCGAATAGACATTGATGTTTGAGCTGTACACAATTCGAAGGTATTGGGATGTGTCTGAGAAAACGTTCGAGCAAATTGGTACCCACAAATGCATTTTTGCATCAAATCGATTTGACAAACTCATACGGTCATGAAGTATTTCCTGTATGCATACGGATATAGTTATTCACATCGAAATCTTGACAGTATTACTTGGGTATAGATTAGAGGAATTTCGTCCAATATCACATGCTTAGATGCTCGTTTCTCTTGTAAATCAAATTGAATAGCAGAAATGTTCAAAAACAAAGTTCACTCTGAATACCTTTTACTCGATAGCAAAAGAAGAAAGCACTAAGAATGGTTTAATGTTGTTTTTGTTTATTTGATAAGAGTACATTCTAAGAAAAGAATCTTTTTCAATTATTTTTCTTCCTTCGTCTGACAAATAGAGAAGTAAATGTTATTTGTTTGCATCATTTAGTTTTGAAGGCAAAAGATTGCTTTTAACTAATGTATCTCATGACATACAACAAGATAATTATCTCTTTGTCAATCACAGTCAACAACGATTATTGACGACGTTAAAGACCCGTTAAAAGAAACTTCGAAACCACCTCGTTGAGATTTAATTAGATTCATTTGTAGGCGTTGAGTTTTTCCTCTTTGGAACTGACATATCTGTCAAAATGAGATCGAAGATTAGTTTGCATCGATACTGCGGATTATTCACGAAGATCAAACAAAAATACATATGAACAAACAAAGAAAACTAAGAAGAAGAACAAGAAAGAAAGAAAAAAAACACAAACGAGAAATGAAATGTTAGACAGCACCGGATGTTGAAAGCTGCTTAGATAAACGTGCTGCTTGTCGTCGACTTTCTAAACTACGCATCATTGGATCGTGAGGATTCCACGTTAACATTCGTACTGTCTTAGCTGTATTCGCTGTCAATGTATGCAGCGATGTTGCCGGCGTTAGATTTGTATCACTTGGAATCGTACTATTTAACAGTGTCGCTTGAACAAGTTGATGTTGACGTCGTCGTTCATAGTTCGAATAGTAATGTGAAGTTTTGTAAGCTGTTTGATTCTTTCGATTCGATTCATACGATGAATCTAAATCCGTTGTATCTGACACATGTCTTTCAAGTGTCACGAGACATGATGGTTCTGTACAACAAAAACAAATATGTTTGTATAAAAATAAGATGGATGTGCCGAAGATCTGCAAAAATAACCGACGACTTATGCGTTTGAAGTCCAATCGGAAACGAGTCGATGTTGACCAATAGAGAAGAAAATTGATTGCATGATTCGACTCTCGCATACCTTTTTCGATAACAGTTAGATACGGATGGAACACTCCCATGCAAACTTGAACGTTTTCATACAGATTTCGCGTGAATTGACATTGAGGATAATAGTAGAAGAGATAGGCGATACACCAATGAACATAGAATGGGCCAAGAAGAAGAACGAACGCAAACGATGCCACTAGTAGCATCACCGTTGTACCTCGTTTATCGACAACACTAAAAAGTTCAAATAGAGAATTTCCTTCCTTGCAATAATCATTAATCCATCTGCAATAGCAATATAAACAGATATTTGATTCATATTGATATTTCATCTGAATCGTCTTATCGATATCTAATCTTGAAAAGTCATCGAATCTCTATTCATCATGTTGTTTACGAGCTCACCGAGGTCAATCGATTCATTAGATCTGTCTCACCTTGAGCTATATAAAGTTCTATTCTTTGACAAGTTTCTTTTTCTGACGATGTCGATAGTATGACATCAACTTACATTCTCATTAGGCATGTCAAATTTTTAATTAGGCACTCATCTTTGACGCTGATGATTATCAAAACTTGTGTTAAGATAAGAGTGATTCTTACTTGGTCGAGAACCGTCTCATGGTACCGTTTTCATCTTTTGCCATGAAGCGTTCTTTTGATTTTTTCAGTTCCATGATGATTAAAAAGTTACTAATTGATATGCCAACAAATGGTACCATAGCATAGGAGAAGACAGTGAAAAATCCTCGAAAGATTTGATAATAATGTGCTTCATTGGTATCGAATGCTTCACAGTGTAGTGAACCGCTTGTATAAAAAATAAAATCGAATGGAATCGGCGCAACAAATATAAACATAATAAAACATAGCAATGGGAGACGAAATCGATCGAATGTGTGTCGACAAAACGGATATTTGATAACAATACAACGTTCAACAGCAATCAATAATAATGTTGTTG